AGAGAGAGAGAGAGAGAGAGAGAGAGAGAGAGAGAGAGAGAGAGAGAGAGAGAGAGAGTAAGTTAAGTCGATCTGTCATGCAAGTGCAAGCCACATCAAGGAAAGACATTCAGTCTCAACTTGACAACGGATCGACTTCTGAGGCTCAAACCCTCGATCCGATTTGTTCCCACATACGTAGCCCCGGAGGAAACATGTCACATAACACAATTCGGAACCACACAGCAATCGAAGACTGCAAGAGACAGCACTTTGCTAAACGACCACACCGAAAGGCTTCATGATTGATTGGCAGTAGACAATGCCTCACTCGTGGTTCACTGCACATTTCAGAAGCCAGATTGAAAGAGAAAAGAGGCCTGTTCGCTGGCCCTATCCATCTGCTCAGGCTTGCGTATGCAAAATGCATACAGTTATCGCACAGACAGAGAACAGACGAGAAAGCGGGTTATGCTGAGAAAATAGGAGAGCAACGAGGAGGGAGAGGAGGAGACTTCGGTGAAGGCTCTGAGTAGAGACCAGGGAATCGATCCAGCATTTTAAGGACAGGTAGATGGATGTCTCGACACACACATCTCTGCACACATAGCAAGAAACTGTGATATGCACCGGTGTTCATTGGACCTGATTCATCATTTCCGCAACCACCATCCTAAAAAAAAAACGCCAGCTGGCACCTCGGGCATACTGAGACACAAACATAACTCACAGCAAAAAAAAAAAGAAAAAGGAAAACAAAACAAAAAACGGCATAGCACTTCAAGACAAAGGTGCACTTTCATGCAAACTTCGTCAAAATTTGCCCAACCCAAATTTCAGAAAAGTTCAGACATTTCAAATTTCGGAAACATCAACCGAGGAAAATTTTGAACGGTCCAAAAGACACCAAATTTGACACACAGTTGTAACCTTGACCTAAAACAAAAAATGACAAAAATACATAAAAATAAAACACACAAAAACAAAAATACATAAAAATAAAACACACAAAAAATTGACCCCCAAACCCTAATTTCAGTTTTGGGCCCATTGGCCAGGAGCTGAAAATGGGAGGTCCCCGTAAAGTAAACCACTAGTGGATTTGATTGCACAATGCAAGTTGGCGGCAGAAAACCGTCTGCGCTGGCTTATCATTCATTTAGCCCCCATACAGACCAAGTTCATGTCACCCTTGCACACAGGCATAAGTAAAAGACCAGTGGGGTGGGTGGGGGGGGGGTCTGATCTTGAACCCTGCTCTCATCTGCTCTGCCATGTCACTGTATTTCAAAGATCCCAGCGGACAATTCACAGAGACAGGTAATTCCTCCAGAAGGAACACCGTCAGGTTTTAAAACAGCAATACACCTCAGAAGGCATCCGCAGATACGCCGCTCTTCCATTTGCCGGTCGTCATCATGCAAAGTTCTAGTCATCAAAAAAATCACCTGATATCACCTGATAAGGGAGTGACATGATCCAGATCTCCTCATGATGGAGCGACGAAATCTGAAACCCTCAACCAAGAAGTTGGGAGGGAGAGGATGGGCATCCTGGTGGTGGCTGGTTTACTGTTTCTATCTCGAGCAAATTTACCTACTACCACCCGGTACTTAGTTGTAGGCAGGTTGCCGAATCCACATCACGCACACCAATCGATTCTGACTGGACAGCCGAATGAGATAAGCGTCTGAATTGACAAAAGTTTCTCAAATTCTCAATGCAATGAATTGAATGGATGCAATTCATAGTTGCGGCGCACTGGTACGGTGCGCAGTGCGGCGCGGGGCGCTGTGTGCCATGCACGAGAGAGTGGTGCACGTGCCCGTGCGCAAAAAAAAAAAAGAAAAAAAAAAAGTTAAAAAACAGCTG